CCTGAGACCTCGGTACCTTAACTGTAGGACTCTCCTCGGCACCTTAACTGTAGGACTCTCCTCGGCACCTTTGTACATCTCTACGTTATATATGTTGCGGTTCAGTGTCACCTTCGCTTCAATCTTACTTTCTTCGTCTCATTATTGAACCAGGACATTTATGCCTTAAGGACAAAGCGTTCCTTTAGTCACTATGGCTATAAATATGCTGAGAATGTTAGCGCTGTTCTACCCATCGGAGCACCCAAACACCCTTCGCCAAATCTTTGAATGAATCAGCGAAATAATTTCTAACTTACACTATTTCAGCTGCTTACATCAGATGTTCAAAATGACACTGTGTAGGTTAGTTGATACTCCTGCAATAAAAAGTGTTCACTTAAAATTTTTATTGCTGTTTCTAAACATTTCTTGTAATTAAAGGCTTCTAGCAACATCCGACACATTTTTCGTGGACTACGTATTTTACTATCGTTTTGACACTCTCGGTGATAGAAGAAAACGCTCAGTCACACCTATCTCAATTCTAGAAGTCCATTTAGCTTTCTTTGTAATTAAGTTGCGTTGAAGGCTGACTAATAATTTAAACACGAAAATTGCAAACTCGTCGCCGCCACAATTTTACATAGAGGTCAGTTGCTCAGACGACGACGCATAACGTCTCGCTCTTCTATCATAGTTTTTTTTTTTTGCCTTCTTATTTTTCTCCGGCAGTGCAGCAAAATCTCTTCTTGAATCGTTTTTAGTAACAGAGTTATAACACAAAAAACTGCAAGGTTACCTGAACGGGGATTGTTCCTTTCTCCGCTGAAGTGTTTTTATGCCACAGTCGCTTTTACTAACACAACAAATAATTTATTCGCGTATACATCAATAAAACCTTAACAGATGTTTCAAGCTGGTAGGGTTATGCTTAAGCTACTAACGTAGGGGCTCGACATATATTTATCTCACATAGCTCGATCCTGAAGAGAAGTTTTTCAGCGTGTTTAATCAAAGAGATGAACTGGAAAAAAGAAGAGAAAAATAGTGCTCGCACTAGTTGTGGCAAAACAATTACGTGAGTAATTTTTCAGAGGGGAATATCTACTAAAAGCCCACACAGATGTTTAAAGCTGGCATTTGATTTATGCACAAGCAATTGATAAACATGAAGCCTTTTTTATTTTTAATTCATTTGAGGGAGCTTTTACATCTAAAGCATCTTTTTACTTTAATCGACAGGCACAAGTAGCCTTAAAAAATTTAACAGGTAAGTTGAATATGTAAAGTTTTCGAAGAAGACATACTAAATTAAAGTTCAACCCGTTTTAGTTGCTAGCCGCAAGAATGCTTATTTCCACCCAGCATAATCCTAAAAATCAATCTAGCTCTCCAAATATATTATTTTTGGTTTTTGAAAATTTGAACTTTTTTCACGGTAAGACATTTCGCAGTTCAGTTTGGTATCAATGCAAATACTCCTAATTTATAAGTGCTATCAAGAGGCCGTTATCTCTGAAATTAAATATTCAAAACTGTTTTAAACTGAATAGTCAATCATACTTTTACTTCCACGTGTTTTGTGAGTATTTGAATAACAAAGGATTTTGCGATCATAATCAAATATTTGGGAAGAACTTGTGAAAAATGTCAATGGAGCATTTCATTTTTCTCAATATTCATTTAAAAAATCTTTGCAAACACAACTCAATGGTTTACTTCTTTTCAATTTCTCAGACTTCAAAAAACAAAATAACAGCTGATGACGTTTTTCCTGTACAATAGCAATTAATTCTCATACAGTAGATAATATGTAGCCAGCATAACCGGCGTGTTGCCTGTTACGTTTTTCAGGCCAAAGGAGACAATCGCGAGGCGGGCACGAAGTGCGAGTCGTCACGGGTGAGGGGAGGAGCGCGAAAAAATTCTCGCCTGTTCTCACGCTATTATTCAAGCTCTTACGCCCCCAGACACACCTCCGATCACCAACCAATGATAGCGCTCAAAAAAATGGGGGATAACCGTTTTTTGCAGGCCGCACCTGGGGCCAATATGAGAACGACCACCGGTGAGATCGTCCCACGGTTCAACAAGGACTGAGATGTAAGATATGGATGACAAATCATAGTAAAACTCCCACGAAGACATATGCCACCCGCTCAACTTAAGGAAAATACTTGTAGATTCTAATCTGTTTCGAGTTGATCTGAATGAATGGGACGCATGTCATCTTAGGCCTGCATGAGGTCTCCCTGTCATCTTAGGCCTGCATGAGGTCTCCCTGACAGTAACGCCACCACCCATTTGTACGGTACTCTTGGTTGGGTAGAGGTATTTTAAAGTAAAGTGCCTTGGCCAAGAGTATTACACATGACCTGGCCTTGACTCCGACACAAAAACTTTCAGATAAACCAGAGCAGAGCCCACCAATATTAACTCCATGTTGCTGTATCTCCCTGGTGGTGAACACTGCCACAGAAATGTATCTGTATTTTAAAGTTGAGTGCGAAAAAGATGGGTACGAGTGTGGTCGCGGTGTACGGTGGAAAACTCTTGCCTAACAAATGTTTCGCATGTTAAGGAAAAATGTGGGATCCCATGACTAAGATTTACCAAGGCAGCCCTACTAATTACGTGGGCATTTATTAAGTAACAAATGATATCCTTGCCATGAAACATTTGTTATCCCCTAATTTGGTTTTAAGTTCAAAATGATTTCTATCAACATCAGTCAGTGAACTTGTACGATCTTCTATAGTTTTGACGTAGGCCATATGTCGCTAGAGCTTATTTTCTCCCTCTTCGCTTTCCTCAGTCTACGTTTCAGTCTACGTTTCAGTCTACGTTTCTCAGCTTTTAAGATAATATAATCTCCGAAAAGCGGTTGGCTAAGGTGGAATTTCACTATGTAAGCTCTTGCAACTCCACGCCAGTTTCCTAACAAGAGCCGAATTTTGTGTCGTGAATTAGGCAACTTTAGTGACCTGCTCGGTCAACGATGGTCTGTTCAGAAACACACTCGAAGTAATAAGGTGATTGAAATGAATCTTGTTATATTGTTTGTAGATGCTGAACGTGTTCGCTCAAAGAAAACATCTACCAAGCCCTTCATATTTTCGGCGGGAAAATTAGTGACGGCAGGGACTGCCAAGTAAACATTTCTATGAACTGCTGCTGCCCAACTAACCGCGGAATATGCAAGGTCTT